TGCCCTCCAAACCCCTGCCCCCACACACTGCCTGTCCCCCCCAAATCCCAACACCTAATGCTGCCTGGCCCCCCAAGTCCCAACAGCCACATGCTGCCTCCCCCAACACCCAACGCTGCCTGCCCCCCCAAGTCTCAACACCCACACTGCACCTGGCCCCCACAAGTCCTAATACTGCCTGGCTGCGGAACACCCAACATTGCTTGGCAAATACCAGCCATGGGCAGCCAAAGAGAATCTACTGTGAGCCAGGAGCGTTTTGTACGTCTTTCGATTATAACAATTGAAAACAACCTGTGTAAAGAAATGGACTTTACTGACATAATTGAAGAATGTACTGCCAAAAGAGCTAGATAGCTATAGTAGACTTAAATACAAATTAAAATGTTTAATTAGTAATGTAGAATTTAGTTTAAGAATTAATTACAATATAATTAAAATAAAAATTATCCAACTAAATTAAGTTTCTATCAAATTTACCTAATTCACATTTAATATGAAAAATAGCCTTCAATTTGCGCATTTGATGCCTTTTTTCTATTTTGTCTCTAAAGGGGGGCCCTGCAAAATTGTGCTGCCCTGGGCCCCGCAAAACTCTCATCTGTTCCTGCCTGATCTAGGTTATGTTTTCCTAATTTATTCGTGAGAAATTCCTGAGACCCTGTCAATATCCTTACTGAAGTCAAGAGAGATCACATCTACTGCTTCCCATGATCTGCAAGGCTTGTTACCCTGTCAGAGAAGGACATTATATTGATTTGATGTGATTTGTTGACAAATCCATGCTTGAGTATTGCTCATCTTATTTTCTTCTAGGCGCTTACAATTAAATTATTTGCCCCATGATCTTACTGGGTACAAAAGTCCAGGTGACTGCTCTATAATTTATTGGCTTTTTATATCACTTTTTTTGCCCTTTTCCACTGTGACTTCTCCCATCTTCCATGAGTTTTCCAGGTTAATGTTAATGGCTCAGAGATCTCTTCAGCCAGTTCCTTAAGTATTTTAGGATATATACCACCAGGCCCTGCCAAGTTAAGGACACCTGATTTGTCTGAGTAAATATTAACTTGTTCTTTTTCTATTTTATCCTCCAATCCTAATCCATTTAGATTGATCACGATATTAGTTGTCCAATCACTGCTAAATTTTTCTTGAAAATTGAAACAAAAAAGGGTGCATAAATCTTTAGCCATTGGCGTGTTTTCTGTTACTGTCTTTTCCTCCTCATTCAGTAATAGACCTATCTTGTCCATGGTTTTCCTCATATTTGTAAAATTTTTCTTGCTACATTTTATGTCCCTAACTAGTTTAATCTTGTTCCTTGTCTTGGCCTTTGAGAACAAGTTGGAATTAATAGGCCCTAAAACCTATTCTTATGTTTGCCACTTATTAACTTGCTGATTTTAGCAATCTTACGCTTATGTAACACTTGACAAACATTATTTGGTTAGG